CTTCTAGTTGCTGTATGTGGGACTCGGCCTCAGGATGAACGGAGAAGTGGTGCCTCGATGCGCACCCGGGATCCGAACCCGGGCCACCAGCATCGCAGTGCGCGCACTTAACCACCAAGCCACAGGGCCGGCCCTGACTTTTAGTTTTAAAAGTGGTTTATATTTTTAGACAGTTATCAATACTGCTGCAGACTGAACTGTGTCCCCCAGAAATTCATATGTTGAAACCCTCAGCTGCAACATGACAGCATTTGGAGATAGGTTCCTTTGGAGGTAACGAGAGGTTACCTGGGGTCATAAGGGTGGTCATAAGCCCTAATCTGACAGGACTGGTGTTCTTCTGAGACGAGGACAACAGAGATCTCTCTCCCCACTGCACCCACTGAGGAAAGGCCATGTGAGGACATGGGGAAAGGTGGCCGTCTGCAAGCCAGGAAGAGATCCCTCAGCAGAAATCGACCCTGCTGGCACCCTGATCTTGGACTTCCAGCTTCCAGAACTGTGAAAAAATAATTTTCTGTTGTTTAATACCCCAGTCTGTGGTATTTGTTATGGCAGCCCTGAGCTGACTAAGACAAATGTCAACATAAAACAGTAAAAAAGATGAAACCACTTTTCATACCGTACATAAAACCAACTCCAGTTGGAGCAAGGGTCTAAATGTGAAGACTTATGGGAGACAATTCTGTAAATTCCTGGGCGGCAGAGACTGTCAGTGCGACAGGAAACCCAGAAACCATGAGGAGAAGACTGATATTTGCTCCATGAAAGTTTTCTTGCAGTGGAACACTGAAAAATCACTAAGAAAGAGAAAAATGGGCATAGAATATAAGCAGACAATTCACAGAAGACTTGCAAATGGCTGATAAGCACATGAGCAGATGCTCAATCTCACTAGACATCCAGAAATGAAAAATACAACAGCAAGAGACCATTTCACACACTGCAGAGGCAAAACGTTTACAGTCTGAAAATACCAAGCATGGGCTGGTCCACGGGGAAATGGGATGGTCTCATCCCATTCAGCAGGTGTCAGGAATATCTGCTTTGGAAAGCAATTCTACCATCTCTAGTAGAGAGCATGTGTTTCCTGTGCCTCGTCCACTTCGAGATTCCCACCCAGCCCAGAGTGACTGAGAACACACTAGAAACAAACTGAACGCCCATTAGTAGGGATGAATATACAACCGAACATTGTGCAGCAGTGAAAACAAACAGGCTGGACTAACCTGCCCCTGCGGGGAGCTCTCAAGAACACAGCAGCAGGAACAAAAGCAGATTGAGGGACTCATGCCCAGTGTGATATCCTTCACAGAACCATCTAGAAACACACACAGTACCGTGTGGAGTTTATGAATACTCAGATGCACATCTAGCTCCACTATCCAGCAGATGGGCATAGGCTCTGAGCCCAACGGCCTGGGTGGGCTCCCCACTCTTGCTCTTACCGCTCTGTGAGTGGGGGTAACTCAGTTCCCTTGTCTGTAAAATGAGACGCTCATGTGTCACTGCATGGCGGTGACGATCCAGTGAGTCACGGTCACACGTGAGGCACCAGCAGTGTCTGCTGTGCCCCATTCTATGATATTGCCATGGACTGGGGAGGGCGGGAGAGAAGGAGACGGGGGAGGATGAAAAAAGCACTTTGCCTTTACCCTCAATGCTTTGTCTTTTTTAAATGATCTGAAGTAAATATGGCAAAATTTGAGCATTTGTTAAGTTTTTAAAGTAGGTAGATAGAAGGTTGTTATTACTCTCTGTTTTAAATGTTTCAAAATTTTAAAAACAAGAGAAAGCCATTCAAGGAGGAAGAAATGCAAATTTCCAATGGAGTTATAAAAAAATTAATGATTTTTGCCAGGAAAATGCAAATCAAAACAAAAATAAGATAATACTTTTCACCTGTCAGAGTAGCACGAATTAAAACTTGGTACCCGACCATGAGGAAGCACTTGTGGCGGGAGTAGGAAGGCTCTACCCTTTTGGGTATTTACACCAAAGAAACAGGAGTTCCTGCACACAAGGAAGCAAATGCAAGGTTGGGTGTTATAGCACCACACTTACCCAAACCCACCAACCACCACGGCTGAGCACGGTTGACTCAGTTAGAGGACAGGCATACAGGCAGACCACGCAGAACAAGGCGGCTTTCCAAGGAATGCATTGCATATTATGCTAAGTGAAGGAAGCCAGACAGAGAAGGCCACGTACTGTATGATCCCATTTGTATGAAATGCAAATATGGAGACACAAAGTAGATGGGTGGTTGCTGAGGGCTGGAAGGGAGGGGGATGGGGAGGGACTAATGTGTATGGGGTTTCTTTTTGGGGTGATGAAAATGTTCTAAAATTAATCGTGGTGATGGTTGCACCACTTTGTGAATATACTAAAAGCACTGAACTGTATACTTGAAAAGGGTGGATTTTATGGTATATGAATTACATCTCAATAAAACAAGGGACGCACTAGAATGTGTACGGTATGATTCCACTTTGTTTAAGCCTATGTCTATGTATGTTCGAGTTTGCTTATGTGAACAAGGAGAGCGATGTGGAAGAATAAATATCAGAACTGAGAATACTGGTTGTCTCAGGGAAATGAGATTGTACTCATTTGAGATCGTACGGGTAAAGGAGGAGATTATTAACAGACTGCGTTGTATAACTTGTTAAAAGCAAAACTGGTTTTGTAAATTTAAAAAACAAATTATTTTACAATGAAGAAGGAAAATCAAAGCAGAACAAAGATTAGCTTTACCATTTTGGTAAAGCCACCCAGCTTCCGTGAGCCTCAGTTTCTCCAGCTACAGAATGGAATGGGAACGATGGGACCCCCCATGGTTGAGGAGAGAATGAAACGGGGTAAGCGTATGCCAGTCTTGGATACCAAGGAAAGGGCCCAGTGTCTGTCAGCCCCCGCATGGCCATCTCCCACCCCTCTGGCTGGGCACACCAAGAGGTCGGAGACCCAGCCCCTGGCCCTATGAGAAGAAACCAGCAGTTCAGCTGCATACAGAGTCATAACAGGGATGACTACCATCTGAGGCATTAGAGGAGAGGCAGACCACAGCAGGGTGGGCGGGGGCACGGAACGGGGGGGTGTCCGGCCTTGGCAGTAGGAGGAACTGAGGTTGGAGAGGAGGGAGGGGTGGAGGCCATTCTGATACATCATGCATGGGGAGCTCTGGCCTTGTGGCAGGCCTCAGTGGACGAGGGGCACCAGAGCAGCGGGAGGCGCTGCTGTGGTCAGAGTATGAAGACGTCTACCCCAAGGTCATGGTGTTTGTATCTTGCAGCAGGTAAGACAGACAGCAGGCAGGAGGGAGGGACATGAAGAGGTTCTGAGCGTGGGCTGGAGGAGTGAGGACGCAGCATGGTAAAAACTCGGTTTCCTGTTCTGCTTCCAGCCACAAAGAGATAACAGGGACCAGATTTGCCCTCTTACCTCAAAGAACTAGTAAACTGGGCAAAATGTATGAAACAATGGTCAATTTCCAGATATTGGACAAGGGACAGCTCAGATCAGAGACCCCTGAGAGAAGGGAAACAAAGTGAGCCTTACAACCACCTCACCTTTCTACCTGGACGCAATTTCCAGACCGCAGCGCAGGGAGCAGGCACCCAGACAGCCTGTGGTCTGAGGAGTTGAAGAGACAGAGAACAGAGTTTGGGGAGACCAAGGAGACTAAAATTTGCAGGGCAACACGCCAGAGCAGAGGGAGCTGCACAGACTTAGAACTCTGGATCCACTTGACACTGACTGAGGGGCGTGTGCCTGGGAGGAAACGATCTCAAACCAGGGCAAGAAACACCAAATGGAAGTAGGCAAAACAATCATTAAAACTCACATGGGGCTGAGAATAGTTTGTGTTCTGACTGGCCAGAGTGGAACGTCCTTCTGCTGTGTGAGGCACTAAGGAAAGTCCCCAGAAGGGTATTGCCTCATTGATGAGGCAAAATTAGCCTGAGACTAAAGGCTAATCTGGACCAACCTTAACAAAACATAAAAGCAAGCCTGGAAAGGATCCAACTGACACTAAGTAATTTCACTGCATCCCAGAACAAATCTCAGAAATATTTAAGAAATTCCAAAAAATCCAACACTCAACAAAGTAAAATTCACTTCAGCATCCAACCAAGTAACTAAACGGGAAAATAAGTTAATAAAATCAGAGGAAATAAGAGTATACTAAAATAGTATTTGTTTACTTCAAAAGAAGGCATTAAGAGGGGCCGGCCCTGTGGCTTAGTGGTTAAGGGTGCGCACTCTGCTGCTGGCGGCCCGGGTTCGGATCCCGGGCACGCACCGACGCACCGCTTCTCCGGCCATGCTGAGGCCGCGTCCCACATACAGCAACTAGAAGGATGTGTAACTATGACATACAACTATCTACTGGGGCTTTGGGGGAAAAAAATAAATAAATAAATAAAATTGTAAAAAAAAAAAAAAGAAGGCATTAAGAGAGAAACAGAAACAAAAAAGACACAAGACATATAGAAACCAAATAGCAAAATGCCAGATGTAAATCCAGCCATATCAATAATTATATTAAATGTGAATGGTCAAACTCCAATTAAAAATTAGAGATTGTCAAACTGAACAAAAAAAAGTAAGACAACTATATGCCAGCTACAGAAACCCACCTTAAAAACAAAGACAAAGACAGATTAAAAGTGAAAGAATCGGAAAAGATATACCCTGCAAACACTAATCAAAAGAAAGCTGACATGGATATATTAACACCAGACAAAGATTTCAAAGCAAGGAATATCATCAGAGATAAAGAGAGACATTATATAATGTAAGAGCTTACAATAATCTTAAATATAGATGCACCTACTAACAGAGCTTCAAAATACATAAAGCAAAAACCTGATAAAACTGAAAAGAGAAATAAACAAATTCACAATTACATTTGGTGATTTCAACAATAATCTCTCTCAATAACTGATAAAACATGTAAGCAGAAGATCTGTAAGGATATATCATTCAACTTGGCTTAATTGACATTTACAGAACACTCTATCCAACAAAAGCAGAATACACATTCCTTCCAAGGGCACACAGAACATTTACCAAGATAAACCACATTCTGGCCAATAAAATAAGTCTTAATAAATTTGAAAGAACTCAAATCATACAAAGTTCCTTCTCTGACTACAATAGAATTAAACTAGAAATCCATAATAGAAAGATATCTGAAAAATCCCCCAAATATTTGGAAATTAAACAACACACTCCTAAGTAACACATGGTTGAAGAAGAAATCACAAAGGAAATTAGAAACTATTCTGAATTGAATAAAAATGAAAATACGACACAAAATTTATGGGATGTAGCTAAGGCAGTGCTTAGAGAAAAATTTATAGCATTGAATGCTATAAGGTGAAAGAAGAAAAGAGCTAAATAAATATCTAAGTAAACCAAAGAAACCAAAGTAAAGGAAGGAAATAATAAGTGTCAGAAATCAACAAAACAGAAAATAGAAAAGCAATAGAGAAAAATCAATGAAACCGAAAGATGGCTCTTTGAAAAGATCAATAAAATCGATAATTAAACATATATTTATTGTCTGACTCAGCAATTACACTTAGATTTATTCAAGAGAAATAAAAAACATGTCTATACTTGTAGTCAAACATTTACAGTAGGTTTATCTGTAATAGTCAAAACGTGGAAACAACCTAAATGTCCATCAGCTGGTAAACAGATAAACAAATTGTGGAATATCTCTACAATGGTGTTATGGGTTGAATTGTGTCCCCTCTAAATTCATATGCTGAAGCCCTAACCACTGGTACCTCAGAATGTGACTGTATTTGGTGAGAGGGTCTTTAAAGAGGTGATTAAGGTAAAACGAGGTCATTAGGGTGAGCCCCAATCAAATAGGACTGGTGTCCTTATAAGAAGAGGAAATTTGGAACCAGACATGTACAGAGGGGAGACCATGTGAGGACACAGGGAGAAGACGGCCATCAACAAGCCACAGAGAGAGGCCTCAGAAGAAACCAACCCTGCTGACACCTTGATCTTGGACTTCCAGTCTCTAGAACTGTGAGACAATATACTTCTGTGTTTAAAGCACCTAGTCTGTGGCACTTGGCCATGGCAGCCTTTGTAAACTAAGACAAACAGAATATTACTCAGCAAGAAAAAGGAAAAAACTGATTCACCTAATGACACGGATGAACTCAAAAGCATTATGCTAAGAGAAATAAGTCAGAAACAAAAGACTACATGCTATATAATTCTGAAGGAAATTCTTAAAAAAGGCAAAATTACAGTGGTTGCTAAAGGGTAGGGGGAGAGGACTGACTGCAAAGGGGCATGAGGGAACTTTTTGGGTGATGGAAATGTTCTATATCATTATTGTGGTGCTGGTCACACAACTGTGTCCACTTGCCAGAACTCATCAAATCCTATAGTTAAAATTGGAGAACCTTATCGAATATAAATTATACCTCAATAAACCTGATCCAAAAAAAACCACTGAACTTCAGGGAGACGAGAAGATGGGTCTAAGGACATGTGTTGAGAACACGCCCATAACTGAGGCACATGGTGACGAAGCATAATGGTGGCAGCACTGGTAGAGGGAAGGAGAAAAACAGCAGAAATAAAGCTCCAGAGACATCAGAATGTGGCGCTGGTGAGAGGGGCTGTCAGAGGCTACGTGGCTTCAGTGTGGGCATGTTAATGGGCAAGAGCAGGTTGGATCCGAGCCTTGCACAGGCCCTTTGGGGGGTATTCCCAAGCCACTGGTTAAAGCCCACGTCTGGTGTCTTCATTCTGCAGAACAGGAAACAAAACGCTCAGGGGGCATGTGTGGGAATCAAAGGCAGAAGTGGTAATGAAACTACCAGAGAAGTCAGAATAGACCTGGGGGATGTCCCAGGAGAGCAGAGCCTTTGACCATGAGTGTGAGTGAAACCGCTGGAGAGAAGAGTGCTCAGGAGAGTGGGACCAGTTACTCAAAGATCTAAGAAGCTGATGTCTTAGGAATAACAGCTCTGCACAGGAAAGGTACCACCTCTTTGAGGTAGGCACTCACACATGCGTGCACACACACGTGTATGTGCACACTTTTTGCTGAACCATTTGGAGATAAGTTGCAGACATCACGATATCTCATCCTACGTTCTTCAGCTTGTATCTCCCAAGGACATTCTCCTACATAATCGCACTGCCATCATCATACCCAAGAAATTCAATACTGATACAATATTATCTAAGATACAATCAACTTTCAAATTTCCTCAATTGTCCCAAATTGCTTGGATGGAATTTTTTGGATCTATGACCCATCAAGGATCATGCATTGCATTTGATTGCCATGTCTCTTGAGAGTTTTATAGAACTACAGAGCATTCTAAAACATTACGGAAGCTAGGCACATCTCATGATACGTGTTTTACAGCTATTTCTACTTTTCTGTAATCAGACCTCTTTCAAGTAAAGGTTACACAGAATCACAAAATGCTAAAAAAGTCAAAGGACCCTCAACCCTCCAGACCTTCTCACTACCCCACACTCTCCTTATCAACTGTACCCTTCTAAATACTATGATGGGTGGGAGTGTTTTAGGTGGTAGAATAAAATGAGGAGCAAAACGCAAAGTCTGTAAAAGGAGCGATTTGGGCCCGGCTCAGCTGCAGAAGTGGTCTCAGGGCCAATTCCTTGATGAGCCCTCAGATCCGCTAAATCTCCAGGTTTTTCCATGAAGACCCCACGTTAAGGGCCTGGTACAAAGGAAAAGCACACAGGGACGAACCCCCTACCAACACTGTGACGCCAAACTGCAACCCAGCCCTTCCTTCAGCCGTTCCACATCCGCTACCTGATTCCATCCCAGTAAAACCTCCCAAACAAGGACCAACCGCCACAAACATCCCCTGGGTCTGCACGTGGAGATGAACAAAGTGATCTCTTGTGAGCTGTCACCTACTTGAGGGCGTTCCACTAAAACCAGTCCTCAGAGCTCCTGGTACAGTGCTGGGCATAGAGCTCCTGGGCAACTGACCCACCCCATTGGACTGATTCAGGCCGGAAGGGACATTCATCTTGACAGCACACGTGGGGCGCGACCTGGACTCTTCAACTTAAGCTCTTCCCACACCCAGAGGACAGGAGAGCAGGCCCCCGGGGTGGGGGTGTGTGGATTGTCTGGATGACTGAAGATCCTGGGCAGGGGAAGGAAGGTGCCAACCCTCTTCATAAAAAAGGACATGTTCAGAAGGAAGAAAAGACAGCCACTCACCTCAGACTTGGCTTCCAGGAGACCCTGCCCCAATTTATCCTCTGGATTCTCTCTGAGGGTAAGAGCAGGGTCCTGAGAGGACAAAGCTGGGAAGGAGAAATGAGTCAAGGAGGGCTCGTCTGCCCATAGCCACCAGCTGAGCCAAAGCCCACCCCACAACCGGCGTGGGGAAGAATCAGCGAGGAGCCAGGAACAGCCCCGCAGGTGGGGTCTGCAGCGAGCCCCAGTATTCTGGCACATTCTGATACAGCGTTAGGGGTTAATTCTGCTACTCCGTGTCTCAGACACTCCAATTAAGGAGGAAAAACACTGCCATTCCCTTCCTCTTATCAGCATGCCTGAGACAGTGGGAACAAATGGTTGGGCACGGGGAAGAGGCAGGAGGCCTGATTCTGCTGGGTGCTTCGGGGAAACTAGCCTGATCTCTCTGTCAGTTTCCAGTGCAAATCCACAGCCCCACTGACTAAAAGAGCCAACGGTACCTGTCTCCCGGGGCTTCGGGGCAGGGGTCTCCATGGCGCCCCTCGGCAGCGTCCCCCCGAGGTGTGGGCAGCTCTGCAGACTCCCGGGCCCCAGGCCAGGCCCAGAGGAGCGGGTCCTGCTCCTGGGGCTCAGGGACAGCGGCCTGCAGGGGACCCCCGTGGGGTCACACTCGCGGAGCCCCCTACGGTCGGGGTCAGGCCGGCTGGGCCAGCGCCCCGCGCCCCAGGCTGCGCTCACGCCCCATCACCCGCGTCCCGCGCAGCCGTCCCACACTCCGCCCGGGGCACCGCGCACGGGGCCAGGGCAGGCCTCGGGCTTAGCCGTCCGGAGCAGGCGGGCGCGGAGCGTTGCCGACCGACAGACCGACCGAGCCAGCGGACCAGACTCTCACAAAAGAACAGCGACCACCACAAAGGAGCAGCTCGGCGGCTGCCGCGGGAAAGTGCGCCTGCGCGGACCGGATGCGAACCACAACTCCCGGGAGACTTCGCGCTGTGCTGGTGGCGGACTCCATTTCCCAGAAGGCATCTGGGGCCCTGGGGCTGCTCTGTTGACCCGACCCGGATGAGCATGTAGCACAGCCTCCTGGGAAGTGTGGTTCTGGGGACAGGAGGACTGCTCTCTGCTCCGTGCTGCGGCAGTATCTCGAAGTGTAAGAGTGTGTGTCTCCAGGTGGAGTCAGGTGGGCTCTGGCCCATATCCAACTTTGCAGGAAAGGCTCAGGCCTCTGGCCCTAGGGACGCTAGGAGTGGTGGGCCGGCACCTGGGACCCCCGCAGAGGGAGAGCACCACCCCAGCTCTCAGGAAGGACCCAGGAGCTTGGGAAGGAAGGTCTGGATGGTGGCCCAGCCTTGACACAGCGCTCTAACATTAACACAGTGACAATGCCAACAGCAGCCAATATTTATTGAGCACTGACCACATACCAGGCATGTTTCCAAGGGCTTGACATGTATATTCTGGCAGAATGGTCACAATAGCTCGGTGAGGTTTGGTAACTATTACCCTCATTTTAAAGAGGAATCTGGGGCACAAAGAGGTAGAGTGACTTGTTCCAGGTCACACAGCCAGAAGGAGGTGGAGCCAGGCTTTGAAGCTCGGCAGAGTAACTCCAGAACTGAAGTTTATTACCAGATTTCTGCTTGACTCTCATTTGACTCCTTGGTGGCCAGACTCCCTTGCTGAGTGCAGGACCAGTGTTCAATAGTAGCCCCAGGGCAGGAGCCTGAGAGGGTGTGGGACTTGGTGCACCTGAGCTTTCCAAGTCCAGTTGTGAATTTGTGAGTGTGGTGACATGTGGCTGTTGCCTTACAGGGCTGGTGAGTGTGTGAGTCTCTGTGTATATGTGAATCTGTATGTATTTGTGTCTCAACAGGTCTAACAGGTCTAGGTCAGTTTGTCTGAGTGCACACAACCACCTTACGTTCATTTCTGACTTTGTGTGGCTCTTGCCTTACGTGTCTCATCTGTGTTTGTGTGGGTGTGCCTCTGAGAAAGTGTACGCAGGCACCTATGCACAGGTGAGTCTGTGGGCCTGTATGTGGCTGCTGCCTTACAGTTCTGGATGTGACTGGATATGGGCATGTGTGCAGGCTTTGTAACATGGGAGTGTAACTTGTATGCACCCGCGTGCTTCCTTGTGAGTCTGGTGTGATTCTGTGTGTTGACATATATCTGTTGACTTATAGGTCTGGTCTGAGTCTGTATAGATATGTGTTTGTGTGTATGTATGTGTGTCTCACCATAGTCACACAGATCTGAATGAATGACTGTGTGTATTTGTTCTTGTACCCCTCTGTATGTTCTTTTTTGTGACTGTTGTTGATGGTTCAAAGGATCATCTATATCTGATTGCCTGGGTGTGTTCTGTGTGACAGTGTGTGTATGTCTTGTACAGGTGAATCTGTAGACCTGTATGTGTGTGGATGTTCTCTCACAATTCTGACTTGTGTCCAGGTGGGTATGCACCTCTATAAGTTTGTGAGACTGTGGGTCTCACAGGTCCAGTAGTGACTGTGTGTGTGCTGTATATATGCCTCTGTATTTCAGTCTGTATGTCACACTCTGAGTGTGCGTGTACCCACAGGGCTCATCTGTGTGTGCATCTTTGTGTATCTGTGCCTCTGTATATATGTATGTCACTGTGGTCTCACGGATCTAGGTGTGTGACTATGTAAATCAATACGATCCCAGGGGTTTTATTGAGTGCTCTGTCCACCCACGTCTCTGCCCACCAGCCCTGGAAAGTAGCAAGACAGTTGCTACAGGGATGTGTCCAGCCTAAAATGAGGAAGTGGATGGGCAGGTGCTGTTACTCCCTTACACTGACTAGAATTCTGGACCTGTGAAAGGCATTTATTCAAGAATACTTAGCGTAAGATTCTCACTTAGATAAAGAGAGGTCCCAGATCACTTTCTGACCCTTGAGTTCCCCATCCATATTAAATCCTGAGGGCTGATTAGCAGGGCTATGTGAAGTTCCAAAAAAATATGAGTATATATGCCATTTTAAAATGGTAGATTTAAAAATGGGAGATTTTAAAGACCAAAACACATAGTAATGTCTTATTATGTTGCTTATTACATTAAATGTTTGGTGTTACAACCTAAATACCTGTTTCAGTAACGGCAAAGTAGCTTGTGTCAGACTATCCCTCTTGCCAGTGACAATTATAAGCTTGCACAGAGGAACAGATCTCAAGCAGAAAGCAATAGTCTTAACAGGCTGACAATTCAGAGGTCAGAGTTTGGGGCTTCCAGACGGTTCTAAATTGAGAGAGAAAATCCAGGAAGAGAGACTGCCAAATAGGGGCAAGCCTCAAAATCTGCGTAAACATTTCCTTGAAATCCTTGAGTGATTCCTAAACGGCACAAGACTCCAAGGACCCAGGGGAAAGGTCAACTGGAAGGCTGACAGCGCAGTGCAGATTTCAGCAGAGGCTTGTGTTCAACTCTCACCCGGGGACTTATGACATACCTGGAGCTTTCCACTGGAACCCCAGACGGTAAGGACTGCAGCCCCAAATTAAAGGCTATCCCCAAGGCCTAAGGGCAAAACTAAAATAGACTACCTTAAAAAGCCTAAAACCAAGCTTCCACAGGATCAAGGTGAGTAATTTAACTGCCTACATCAATGAAATACTGAATATCTTTAGAAGAAGATAACAGAATACAGAACCACTTCAAATCATCATCCACAATGGCCAATTCAAAAGAAAAAATTACTAGACATGCAAAAAAGCAGAAAAGTATGACCCATAATCGAGACAAAAAAGTCTACATAAGGAAACCCATAGATGACTCAGATGATGGAATTAGTGAAGTGTTTAACTATTAGTTAACTGAGTTAATAATTATAATAACTATAGTTAACTATTTATAATAGTTATAATATAGTTATAGTTAACTATAGTTAAATATAGTTAACTATAGTTAACTATAGTTAACGATTATAAATATGTTAAAGAATTTACAAGAAAAGATAGGCAAAACAAATGAATGGATGGGGAATCACAGCAGAGAAACAGATCCTTAAAAAAAAACCAGATTGAAAAATTCATTGATAAAAACAGGTCAGTAGAAATTATCCAAACCAAAACATAGAGAAAAAAGAATGAAGTGGGACTAGAAAGAAAGAAGTCACCTGAGATTTGTGGGATACTATTATGTGGTCTAACACAGTGGCTCTCCAACTTTTTGGTCTTAGGAGCCCTTTACATGCTTAAAATTGAGTACCCCAAAAGGCTTTTGCTTACGTGAGTTATATCTATATTTACTGCATTTAAAATTAAAACTGAGGGGGCCGGCTCCATGGCATAGCAGTTAAGTGTACTCTCTGCTGCTGGCGGCCTGGGTTCGGATCCCGGGCACACACCGACTCACCACTTGTCAGGCCATGTTGTGGCAGCGTCCCATATAAAGTGGAGGAAGATAGGCACAGATGTTAGCCCAGGGCCAGTCTTCCTCAGCAAAAAGAGGAGGATTGGCATGGATGTTAGCTCAGGGCTGATCTTCCTCACAAAAAAGAAAAAAACAAACAAAAAAATTAACACTGAGGAGTTTTAGAAATATTTATTAATTCATTAAGATAACAATATGCCCAATACATGTTGTATTAGTTTCCTAGGGCTGATGTAATAAAGTAACACAAACTGAATGGTTTAAACAATAGAAACTTATTGTCTGATAGTTCTAGAGGCTGGAAGTCAGATTAAGGTGTCAGCAGGGCTGGTTCCTTCTGAGGATTATGAGGAAGAGTCTGTTCCGTGACTCTCCCACAGCTTCTGATGGTTTACTAGCAATCTTGGTCAGTTCTTCGCCAATCCCTGCTTCATCTTCACGTGGCATTCTTCCTGCGTGTGTGTCTCTCTAAATTTCCCCTTTTTATAAGGACACAGTAATATTGGATTACGGATCACCCTAATGACGTCATTTTAATTTGATTACCTCTGTAAAGATTCTATCTCCAAGTAAGGTCACATTTTCACATACTAGGCATTAAGACTTCAACATAAGAATTGGGGGGGGGCACACAACCCATAACACATGTTAACATAAATAACATTGTTTTTAACAGAATAGAAACCCTACATTTTCAAAAGAAAAGAAAAGTAATGAAAAGAATGGCACTATTTTACAATATTTGCAAATCTCTTTAATGTAATAGAAGACAGCTGGATTCTCATATCTGCTTCAACTTTCAATCTGTTGTGATATCACACATCATATAGATTCTGGAAAACTACGTTGGACACTCATGAGAGTATTCTTATGAAAATATATATTTTTTATCCTGTGGACCTCCTAAAAGGGTCTTGAAGAATCCCAAAGGTCCGTACACCACACTTTACTTTGAAAATCACTGATCTAATGTACATGTAACTGGAGTCCTGGAAAGAGAGGAAAGAATGGAGAAGAATAATTATCTGAAGAGATAGCAGCCATATTTTTTCCCCAAAATTGAGGAAAGATATCAACCCCAAAATCCAAGAAACTCAGTGAACCCCAGAAAGGGTAAACACAAAGAAGATCATACCTCATCAAACTAATGAAAACAAAAGATGAAAAGGAACAATAACAACGACAAAAAGACACATTCCATTCAGGGTAACAATAAAAAGAATTATGACTAATTTCTCATCAGAAACAACG